CGTCCATCTCGTAACCCAACTGACCAACCAAACCAATCACGACTTGTTAAACGTTGCACACACCATTTTTTATATTTATATATATATATATATATATGCATACACCAAGAATATATATGTATTATGTATCTATATATATATACACGCACACCTGTTTGAGTCGTTCTTGAAGAGCGTGACGTCCACTTTGTTTGAACAAACACAAAAAAAGAGAAAAATGGAATCAATTTATATAGCGGTTATATACAAATAATTAAATTCCTTGGTATAGATTGTTTCAAATAATTTCATAAAAAAATATAATAACCTAAGCTTCCCAAGAACAATGCCAAGTTCTTGGGATCGTTCGAGCCCCACGTCTTCCGGCAACATTATCTCGTAAGTGCTTTTGTTTTTGAGCATTCCATCCTTTATAAACAAAACCCATATGAAGTCACATTATAATTATTAATCAATTGATCAATTCAATAAAATGATTTATTTTTCTGCATATAAATTATTTTACGTGGGTTTCTTCGAAAATATCTAACCAACCTGATGGATACCACTCTCATGAACAAATGCATTGGCTCCAACTATGGCCTTGTGCGGCTGAACATGCAGCCCCGTGTGCTCTTCCACCTTCATGTTCATCACAAATTAAATAATAATTAGTATCAAATTAATGTCTATACATGAGTCATGTCTGTATGTATATGTATTCATACACACTATATGTGTATATGTATATGAATAGTATGAATCAGAGACATGTACAGACCAGCTTGCTGGCAGGGACGATGTGTCTCGTGTCAATTCCAGTGTAAAGGCCACAAAAAGCATGCTCCCCTTTGCACTTCAGAGTCATCACAACCTGCACCCACGAATCAATTGATAATCATCTGATGATGATGATGGTGATGTCTGAATATATATATATATACATATATGTATGTGTGTGTATGTATATGTAATGGAACCTCTTCGAGGGATGCGTTTCCACCTCTTTCGCCAATACCGTTGATAGTGACTTCGACTTGTCTTGCTCCGGCAGACGTTCCCTGCATTTATTTTGATATATACATACATATAATATTCATTCATAAATATGTAAAATAAAGGTATATATATAATAGAGAAAAAAAAGAGCGTACGGAAAGAGTATTAGCGGTGGCAAGGCCGAGATCATTTTGGCAATGGGTAGAGATGATGACGTCATCGATACCAGGAGTGTTTGCTTTGATGTCTGATATTAACTCCCCGAATTCGTCAGGCGTATTTATGCCCACTGTGTCTGCGATATTTACGGTCGATGCCCCTGCCTTTATCACCTCTTCCAATATCTTGTACATGAACCCCTTCTCCGACCTGTTCATTTACCCTCATATCCATTTTATTCACATTACATGTGTCCGTATATGTATAAGTAATATATGATATGCTCATTGTTTTATATATTTCAAACCTCCCGGCATCCTCGGCCCCAAATTCCACGTCAGCACAGCCCAAGCTTCTTGCAAACCTGATCATACTCGAAGCCATCTGAATCACTTCCTCTCTCGTCTTCCTCAGCTTATGCTCCATGTGGATATCGCTCGTCGAAATAAACACGTGTATCCTCGGCCTCTTCGCGTGCTTCACCGCCTCCCAAGCCGCCTCCACGTCATCTTTCCGGCACCGCGATAGGCCGCATATCACCGGCACGTAGCCGGTTTCCTCATCGACGTCGTTTCCGACGGTCTCGGCGATGGCTTTCACGGCCTCGAAATCGGCCGCTGATGCCGCCGGAAAACCGGCTTCGATCACATCCACGCCGAGCTCGGCCAGCTTACGAGCGATCAACAGCTTCTGCTCCGTCTGCATGGCGGCGCCGGGTGACTGTTCCCCGTCTCGGAGGGTCGTGTCGAAGACGCGTACGTAGTTCGGGTCGGAGATCCTGTTAGGTATGTATTCCGGACGACGGACGCGGCGGAGATGATTCGCCGCCGCCGACAGAGGAAGTGGAGACATTTTAGCGGCGGCGGA